GGCCTGTACCCTCTCCAATCTGGGACCCCTCAGGGGATGTCCGACTGCCTTTTGCCATCTGGGACCGCTGGCTCCTAACCGCTCACCTGCCTGCCTGCCCCTAACCACCTCTGCCTGCCTGATCCCCCTGACCATCTCTGCCTGCCTGCCTGATCGCCCCTAACCGCCTCTGCCTTGCCCTGCACCAGGGACCCAGGATTCCCTCCTCCAGCCGGTCGCAGGCACCCAGGACCAGAGCCGGCTTCGCTTGGGCCGGCCGCAGCCACAGAGGACCATGGGCGGATGGCTTGACCCTCTCCCGGGCTGCAGCCTGGCTGGTCCCCATTCCTCTCTCCCAAGTGTTGAGTGTCTGAGCAGTTACGGAGTGATGGCGTGACGATGTGAGGGCGTGACGACCATTTGCAGATTAGCTCTTTATTATATAGGATTATTGCACTATTTTCCATACGAAAAACTGTCATCCTACTTTTGCTTACCGCTATGTGTAAAATGGTGGGTCTCGAGACTCTTCCTATGCAACTGTTTAATGCTCAGATGCCACCCTCCACTCATGACTCAGTTGCGACCTCACCAGCAATTGCCTTGTTAACACAAAGGAGCATGAGCCTTTTCTCTAAAGAGTTGTAGAATCACATCCTATAGATAAGACTTGTGTGAACACAAGCCACATAAGGAATCCTGCAGGTCTGCGATGAAGTCTTTGACCCGGGGGCCTAGGGATGTAAAATACATCAAAGAGAAGTGTCCATCAGCCTCCTGGCCTCGGCTGCCTTTGTGAGCCCACGTCCCTGCATGTGGTCACACCAGAGGCAGAATACATCTGTCTGCACCGAGTCAATAACAGGCCCAGCTCAGCCCCTAGGTCCTCACTAGTATTTTATTCTTTATACGCCTCAATCTTCATGACCTTCATGTTACCTCTTTCCTTCTCTTTTTGCAAACAGTTCTCCAATGAAAGGCTCTGGTTTCTCAGAGGAAAGGGGAGCATCATTGTGCATGTTCTAGAACAAAACTGTGGCCCTCGCTGGGTTGGCTCAGTTGTTAGAGCGTACACCCACAGAATGAAGGGTCATGGGTTCAATTCCAGTCAAGAGCAGGTACCTCGGTTGCAGGCTCTATCCCCGGGCCTGGGCCCTGTGGGAGGCAACCAATCAATGTGTGTCTCTCACATCAATGTTTCTCTCTGTGTCTCTTTCCCCCCTTTTCCACTCTCTCTAAAAATTAAGAATAAAAATCAATGGAAAAAATATCCTTGGGTGAGGATTACCACCACCAACAACAACAAGCTGTGAAGTTCAGCCTCTGCTCTCATCCTTTCTGGTTTCAGATTAAAGTGCTGCCTTCTGGCCCCAGCTGGTTTGGTTCAGTGGACAGAGTGTCGGCCTCTGGACTGAAGGGTCCTGGGTTCAAATCTAGTAAAGGGCTTATGCCCGGGTTGCGGGCTCGATGCCCAGAAGGAGGTGTGCAGGAGGCAGCCGTTCAATGCTTCTCTCTCATCATTGCTGTTTCTATCTCTCTCCCTTTCCCTTCCTCTCTGAAATCAATAAAAAATAGATATATATATTTTAAAAAGTGCTGCCTTCTGTTTAAGTTCAATTCTTTCCACTTTGTTGTAGATCCCCTCCTGCCTAGATCTGGGCCTTATCAATTGTTCTGTCCACCTCGTCTACCTCTCCCTGTCCCAGCTGCATCCCCTACACCCTTACAGAGGTTTCATTGTAGAGGTGCAAGCCACTCTGACTCTCATTCAGATTATTTGGTAGTTGTGTGCATATTTCTCTCTCCTAGTAATTACAAGCTCCTGGAGGCCCAGACTGTGTTTTAGCTATCTCTAGCACTCTATAGTCCCACGTCATCACATGAACTCAGTAAGATATCCCTGAATAAAGATAATATTACAAGATAAAATGTAATATTTGATTGGCAAGTGAGTTATTTAGAAAATAATTGTTTTAAGAAGTCTGAGGAAACATTGTTTTATCTTCATCTATAGGCATTTATTTTGCCAACACGGGGGAGATAGTGAGAAAGAGGAACTAGCATTTGCAAAGCCTGTGAATATGGTGCATTTGGGTGACTCTATAAGTTGTCCTGTTTGGTGATGAAAAAGATAGAGGCAGGGAGTGCCATGAGATTCACGTGCTAGATGACTGGCTGCAATGCAGGATGGATTGGTAGGGGCTAGAATGAAAAAATATTGACAAAGACATATTATCTTGACAAGAGTTAGCGATTGCACTTGGGAGGTGAGGGAGAAGGGTCATTCTTGCAGTATGGGTGTAGGTGGAAACAGTATCCACTGTTTTCTTGTTGACGGAAGGACACAGTGGCTAAGAGAATGATTCAGCGTCAGATCATCCGCCACCCTAGCTGTGTGCCCTCAGGCAAGCAAATTAACCTTTCTGGTCCTCAGACTCCTCATCTGAAAAGCTGTAACATGCCTAGCTCCTGCGGGATGCTAGGAGAATTAAATGAATTACTAAATGCCTCACTTGGAGCAGTCCCTGAATAAATCATAGCTATCACCAAGATTACCTTTCCTAACTTCCTTCTATGTTCTTTCTAAGTGCAGATGAGTAGAAATGAAAAAGGTAGGAGTGGTATGTTAAAAACCAGAGTATAATTAAATACAAAAGGCTTAATGGATCTGTTACTTTGTCTAAGACAAGGGACTGAGTAAATGGCCTTTGTATCTGGAACACATAGATGGGTCCATAAAACTGTAAACCGGTTCATAACAGTATATAACTAAATAATACAATGTCTGAAAAATAAAATTTGTATCTATAGAAAAACCATATCAAAAGTACAGACTGAAGTATTGCTTAACACATGATTTTCAAGTTTACTCTTTTTTAACATTTTTATTTATGGATTTTAGAGGCAGAGGAAGGGAGATGAGAGAAACATGGATTTGTTGTCCTACTTCTTCATGCATTCATGGCTGCTTCTGGTGTGTGCCCTGAGCGGGGACTGAGCCCGAAACTTCGAGTGTCTGCACCATGCTCTACCCGTCACCTACCCGGCCAGGGCAAGAATGACTCGTGTGTGTGTGTGTGTGTGTGTGTGTGTGTAAACATTAAGTGTAATATTTTGTAAGCATCATTTGTATACTAAACAAATGGAAATTAGCGTTTGGAACAGCTGGGTGTGCGTTACATGGCCCCTCACAGGAGTGGGACCCGCCCCGCCCCATCCCGCAGGAGAGAATAAACCCGAGAGGCAGGCCACTCGCCTTCAGGATTCAGCTCTCACCTCTCGTGTCGCATGAAAAGTCATCCTTTCACGACTGCTTTTTCAAATGCATCGATTCCTGCCATTCTTACAAGTGTTTTATCAAATGACAACAAACGGAGAAATGGTCTGTAAAGTGCGGAGCCTTATCCAGATGAAAGCCCTTTCCATCACCGACGGCATATCGGTGAGGTCCGGACACAGCGCCTTTCCGGGAGCCAGGTCGGGGCCTCCGACGACCCAGGGGCCACCCGGCTCAGTGGAGCCGGTTACGCGGCAGCTGACCCGGCAGCCGAGCCTCCTTTTTCTCTTTTCGCCCCGCTCCTGCCGGCCCCGCAGCGGGGTCAGCCCCGCGTCCTCGGGCACCTG